ATACCTCCCTAACATTTTACTATAGTGCCACTTTTTTTATATTGTGCAATAGTTTATAAATATAGGGAACTGCTGTGTTTCAGTAGTTTGGAGTATTGCAATCTTGAGAGTCAGGTTCTCTGATTGATATGTGGGGTTTAACGTCCCAAAACCACTATATGATTATGAGAGACGCCGTAGTGGAGGGCTCCGGAAATTTAGACCACCTGGGGTTCTTTAACGTGCACCCAAATCTGAGCACACGGGCCTACAACATTTCCGCCTCCATCGGAAATGCAGCCGCCGCAGCCGGGATTCGAACCCGCGCCCTGCGGGTCAGCAGCCGAGTACCTTAGCCACTAGACTACCGCGGCGGGGCAGAGTCAGGTTCTCTTGATTGGGCTCAGATTTTTTTGAAGTTCTCTTCTGCTTCAGAGACCAATACATGATCTGGATAGCTGGCTGCTTTTAGGGTAAACCTTTCTTTCGTCTTGTTAAAGGTCCGCTCACCAGGCGGCGTAAGAAATTTTAGCTAGACGGTGGCAGTTGTTGTGTGTCCAGTGAAAAGCATAATGCCACAAGAATTTTAGCAGTCGGTTCATTCGAGCTCAGAAAACTGGTATTTTGATGTGGAACGAAACCATGATATGAGGAGGAAGCTCGAAATCCTTGCTGCTCGTCCCATGTGGCCATTGCAAGCCAAATTTCTTTTGTGCCCTCCCTGGCATCAGAGCGAGAGGTCCACATCATATGTACGTCAGAGCACATGCGTATGACGAGCTTGAGCAACCGCCCCGCCACGGTGGTCTAGTGGCTAAGGTACTCGGCTGCTGACCCGCAGATTGTGGGATCGAATCCCGGCTGTGGCGACTGCATTTTTGATGGAGGCGGAAATACTGTAGGCCTGTGTGCTCAGATTTGGGTGCACGTTAAAGAACCCCAGGTGGTCAAAATTTCCGGAGCCCTCCACTACAGCGTCTCTCATAATCGAATGGTGGTTTTGGGACGTTAAACACCACAAATCAAATAATCAGTTGAGCTTGAGCAACCCTAAGCACGCTTGCATCGTTTTTTTACAGACAAGCATTATTTTATCCTCTACTACCTTGCCGATCATCATCAGGCTTGCAACCTATTAATGAGCATCAAGACTGTGTCATTTCATTGGCACGAGAGGGGTGGTATTATGAGCCAGTGCTGCATTAACGTTTACTTCATGCGGTAGAATAAATCGGCATAATGAGTGCTCGAACGCACCAGAACATTACTTTTGTTTCCAGGACTGGCATCTGCTCGATGTGTTAGCCGCAGTGACACGAACTCATGCGAAACGGAGGCACATTAGCCCCATATATTGTTGCAATGTTGGGTAAAAAATGAAAGAAGGTGCACATGTTTCCTTTTTGTATCTAATTACTTCTGTCAAGTTTTATTCATCTACTTAAGCTACAAATTACAGAATTTACACAAGTTGTGTCGAATAATTTTTGCCGTGTCACATGCTACAGTTGGAGACGTCGGAGCACAGTCTTCTACAAAAAGGAATGACATCACAGCAGTACCGTCTAGATAGGACGATTCCATCATCTGCGTTATCCTCTCATTCTGTGGGTGTGAGCACGCAAGAAGGCCAAGCGGCGTTCAGCTTGAAGTTTGACCCATTTTCGCTGCGCATAGCGTTGCAAATTTTGGCAGACGTCATCGTGAACGCCCAGTATATGCATTGCGCTTGTCAGCTCAAAATTGTCAAACCTGGTGAGGGGCCCATTAATCACTTAGTACTACTAATAAAGTATGTCAACCAGCATCTATGCATAGGAAAGCCAAGGAAACAAAAGCAGAAGAAAATTGTTCTTCTCTACAAATATGGCAAAAATACAAGAAAGGGCGGCTTGCTGTGGGCAGGAGCTCTTTAGTTTGTTCATTGCTATACTTTAGTTACATTTCTTTGTTAGAATCAAGATGCTTCCAAGCGGAGCTTTTTGTTTTTCATCCGCTGGCCACATTGTTGCTGAAAATCTCAACACTAAGGAAAAGAACCTGTGTGCTTCTACTCACCTGTGAATAATTTTGTAGTGCCATTGTTTATTTTTAATTTATTTACTGTTGAGAAACTAGGTGATCAGATTTTTTTTATTTTTGCAGGACAACGGTTGGCCTCGATCTCTAGGCGCTGCGACTTTGTCAAAATCACAGATTTCACAAAAACTGAGCACAGCCACTCGCAGATGAAGGTCGGGGTGAGTATTCTTCAAGTAGCGGTGCAGATGTGGTTGCCGCAAATTCTGAGCTTGCTTGGTGGGTGTAAAAGGAAAAAGAAAATGTAGTTAGGGCCTTTTTACTGGCCCCTTAAGCTAAGCAACAGCCATTTTTGTTTTGTCTCAAGATTTAAAGAAAAAAAAAACAGTAGTAAAATATTCATCAAGGTACCACTTGACTTTAACCAAATGAAATGTACATGTTTCCACCAAAAATTGAATTTCGTTTGTTTTCTAAAACATTCTGGAACACACTCTACAGAACTACCCAAAGCATAAAGCACTCAAAAGGTTAAGAAGTCAGTTGTCAAGAAGTCGGTATGTCAACATTACTCGCATTCATACAGGATCTCGCTTGTGCATGCCTACTGACACTTGCATTCGGGCTCACTTCCATCAGACTAACACTGACTTGCATAAAAATACATCTGCTCACTCTTTCATTTATCCTCATGTTTATGAACGTTCACCCACGTTTGTATTCGCGTCAATCTGATCTTCGTCACACACTCATTTGAAACTTGTGCGGCATGAGCTTGAGTCGTAGTGCTCGTGAAGGAGTATGTCTGGATATGGTCACATGTTCGTGACGACGCCGAAGGCTCCAGTAGAACTTGGAAATATTGATCTCTTTTTTTGGTCAAACTTGTGACCAGGAAAAAATTGCAAGCGAGCAATGCGCACTGGTAGTGGTGAACAGAGCGACAGTTGTCAAAACACTGGCAATCGTCGAAGTTTCCAGCGTTATTGCCAGCGGCTGCGTAAGTTCTGGTAATAATTCTGATGTTTACATTGAGCACGTGAGCTCATTGAAAGGTTCTAAGATTATGCGGATAGTTCCTGGTCATTCCGGTGCGCTTTGCGCAAGGCAGCAGCTACATTGTAGTGGGGGTGGTAACATGAAAATAAAAAGGAGTGGGTTTGGCAGTATGGTTGAACAATGCCTTATCACTCAAAGCTGTTCTATTCACTCTAAATTAACAGATGGTTAACCATTTGAGGTGCTTTGTTCACATTCATGTTGCAACTTGTTTGGCTAGTTGCATTGACTTGTGGCCAAGAAAGCTTACCACATTGAATTTTGATTTAATCAAACTTCCTAAATAATAAATGTTCTCATTTAAGTCCAGTTTAAAGTTTGCTGTTACACATGATCACCTTGCTGAAGGCAGTTCCTTTTGGCAAGTCCTTCAATGGAACGATTTCTGCAAGCCACCTCGAAAGTGTTTTTTGCTCAAAGAATAGCACCGAAAACAACACTACATTAAATTTACAGCCCGTGATCTGATCCTATTTATCGAAAAACGCAAAATTAATGATTTCGGGCTAAATAGTATGGGAGTACTCGGCAGCTAAGTGGGCTCGTGGAAAACGGGAACGATGATTGTGGGCACGCTCGCGGCATGCATTCAGTAGCCAGGCAGTTCCAGCTGCGCATGAGCGGAGTAAAGATGGCTGCTAGTCTGCCTCGGTGTCTGCCTTGAGGGGTTCTGCGCTAGCAGCGGCCCGAAATCCTACAGGAGATACCTAATTGAAATCTAACTTCTATCGTGCTTTTCTTATAGCTAAGTTGCGCGGCAGTCCACCGCAGTAGTGTAGTTACTACGATGGTAGACTACAGACTTGGGAACTTCATGTACTTGATCATGGCCGTGGCGCTCGCATTTTGATGCAAGCTTCAGTTTCAGTTTATTATTTGTTCAAGTGAAACTGGCTAGAGGCCCATTTACTGCGCGGTGTTGATGCATGTTAAAAACTTCAGGTGGTCGAAATTTCTAGAGGTTTCTATGATTACTTGCATCGATATCGGGGTCTTGGGACGTTAAACCCCAGATATTATCATTAGAGCTGTGCAAATACCAAAATTATGAGTGCGAAGCAAACTTATATATTGAAGTGTTAGTGCGAATCAAATAGAACATTTTTTGGAATATTTCTAGAGTTTTTTTTAATACTTCACTGCTATATTGTCATAAAAAGAAGTTGATGATTCCTAAGCATATTCTTATGAGATAGCAATACGAAAGTTTTTTTTTTTTTTTTGGCTAGGTTAATGAAGCGTTGATGGGGTGGCGTTTCATAGTTGTCTTATCAAGAATGAGGCAATGCAGAGGCTGGACTATATGTATCTGCATGATTTGGTGCAAATAAAGTGCTGCCGACGACACTTTACATGCGCAAAGGGCAAAGATCCTAATTCCTCAACCTCTCCTTCTCCTTGGCTCTTGCAGCAGCCCCATAATTTACATCTGTAATAAAAATAACTATATATCCAAAAATTTTTATAGTATGTTTATCAATAACACTGAATTTATGACATGACTATTCTTCAGTGACTTCGTTATAAACGATAATTCATTATATCTGTGTTCGTTATATAAAGTTCTGAGTTAATAAACATCCGTTTGACAGTCTGCACTTGTCTCGTAGTTTTCATTTCATTGAAAACAGTATTCAGCCTCTACCTAGGCCACATTTACCATCTCCACGTTGAAATCGTTTGAGTCAATACATTTGCGACAGTAGCAGAACCTGAAAGGCAGCTGTGCCGCAATACGAAAATGTGTTGGGGTAAAGATTATTGAAAATCTCAAGGGGCCGCTGCTCATCGAATGAACAAATAGTGGTATTCCGCTGCGAGTCAAATTGAATATCGAACAGTGTTGGCAAAATATTCAAAATTTTAAATATTCACTCATCCCTAATTATTATCGCACTGTCGGGTGTGTCTCTTCCTGCAGGGTCCTTGCCACTGCTGTGCGTTCAGCCACAATGACAGCGGCAGCCTGGCTGTCGGCCTAGAGGGAGGTGGTGTGCAACTTATGAAGAACGGAAAGACCTTCTACTCGTACAAGGTACGTAGTAGAACTGAGAAACGTTTGTTCGTATACTATGCATTTGTGAATGTGTGAGACAAATGTCCACGCAGTGGAAAATCTATGGTTGTGTATAACAGTGTCAGAGAACCTCAATAAAATTTTTAAAAATTTAGTACAGACTGGTTTCCAGGTAAAAAAGAATCGATAAATGCACCACTGATAATGCTTGTTTAAAATCACTTTGTCTCGACAATTAATGCGCTGTCTTGTGCTGTCAAAAAGTTGTGGGCAGCGACGATGATAATGGGTGAGGGTAGAAACTGGTGCGCCTTGCACTCGAAAAGGGATAAACTATTCTGATCTTTTATGATTGTATTTACTGAATTTATAACTAATTTCTGCAAGCTCAATTCTTACTGCAGTCTCAGCATAGCATACCACATCATCAGAAATGATGATGGATCAAAGGAAACCATTCAAAGGAATCTAAGGAAACACTTATGGTGCCTGTTTCATTAGCCAACAGAAACCTTACTTGTCTGACACTGTCTAATCATAGAATGGTAACACGGGAAATGCCGTGTGTAATGATTAAAGACGTTCGTCACTATGTTTGTTAATAGCGGACGAGAAAGGATTAACATGAACACTTTATTTGATGGCATGGGTGGAACGGCTGACGGCGCACGGATACGCTACCGTGTGCAGCGCCGTCGAGTCGAACGTCGTGACCAACCCAGCAGCCTGGGTCGCAACTCCCGAGGTCTAGGATCAGGCCACGACTCACGAGGACCACACCCAGGCAGGAGCCGTTCGGCAGGCCCCGTCCTTGGACCTTGTACAGGCCGACGGTCTCGACCTCGAACAGACCACCGGAGCTCGACCTGGCCGACACGTACGGGTCCCACGTCCGGCTCAGGAACGCTGCCAGGAACTCGTACTCTCGAGCGGCGCACCGCTTCGTCTGCCTTCGTGGCCCACGTCTGAGTCTGGCGCGTCGCTCGGTACAGCTCGGCACCGCTCGGCGATCCTCGAATCGGCCAGCAACTCTCCTGGCACCTGGATCCTCGGCCACCCTGAACCTCGCCCAGCTCCGTGGTTCTCCGTACACACGCCCGCGTCTCGCCCGGCAGAACGTCTCGCTCGTCCCTTGCCGATGTGCGACGCTCTTGTGACACCGGCGCTTGATGGCATGGGTGCAGCTACGGAGCAGTCAGGCCCGCATCGGAGACGCGATGCTCCATGCGGGGAAATGGCCAGCCCGTCCAGCGAACAGCTTGCGTCGAGACGCGATGCTCGGCGCAATCGTGACCATTAGCCAGGCCACGTTCATCGCTGTGCCGAACGGCTGACCGTGGAGACGCCTTGCCGAGATCTGCGATGCCCTCGGCAAGGAAGAGAACAGCAGGCTAGGCCGCGCCTCGAGATGCAGTACTCGTGCCGGCGATGCCGCCCCAGCTGGTGGTTGGACGGCAGTAGCGTGGACGGCCGCGTTCCCTGGCCGGAACCTGGATCGCCTGCGTCCGACGCTTCGGCGCTGTCTCCCGTCTGCCAGCGGCTCCGGCTCGTCCCCAGCTACAAAGCCTACTGCCACGTAATGATCACACGTGGCCCAATCGTGGCACGCCACTTCTATGAGCCACCGCTAGTCATCAGCTGATTGGCGCACAGTTGCCTCGTAATCGCACGTGCCTTGTCCCGCACCTTCGTCGTTGTCGTTTTTCTCGAATCCTCACACTGTGAAACGTTTGTAATAAAATGTTTCAATCTGTGGCAGCACAACACTAGCTGCAAACAGTGGTACGTAAGCGGGAGAACGGTTTGCATGTTGCTATTTGCGGCACATCGGCTACATGTTTTACTAGTTGCCACCGAAGCAGTGCCGATTTTCGCTGTACAACACCTTTTGTCTTGTAAGCAGCACAAAATATAGTGGGGATGCATGATAATGCACGTACTCTAACTTCGAGCACTAATTATATTACGCATGAAAGCATTAGATCATGTGTGGCACGATGAACAACTCTATAATTTAGATGAAGGGCTGTTCCACTAGACTGTGTCGTACTGGTTTTCGTTACTTTTAAACGTGCCTTACATATATTGTAAAGCAACGTTTTGGCTGCAAGGCACCTCTTTTACTTGCCGAGCCTCTGCCCCACAACACAGGTCAGACTGATGATGATGAGTATGTACATATGGTAAGATGATGCTTATGAATAATGCTCACACTTATTTTCCCCCCACGCGTAAGCGGCCAGCCCGGACGCGTCTTAGACGGAAACGGAACGTCGAACGAATGGCTTCAGACATGATACGTGGACAATCTCCGAACCACGACAGCGACGATCCGAAGAAAGGTCGGTGGAAGTGACGATAGTTCACTGGGGATGTCTGTCCATTGATTGTATAGGGCCCAATGAAGGGTGACTGAAACTTGTCACACAATCCTGGAGTACGAATGGGCGTCCAAAGCAACACTTCATCCCCTGGACTGAAGGAGACGTCGCGATGAGAGCTGTCGTAGCGTTGCTTGCGGTCTTGCTGATTGGCTTCTGTATTAAGGCGAGCCCGATGCCGACATTCTTCGAGCCTGGTGATGAACTGCTCTGATACGGTTGCCGAGGCGTCGGTTGGCACATTTAGGAAAGAGACGTCAATGGTGAATGTCGGTGCACGAGGTAGAAAGGTGAGTAGCCAGTAGTTTTTTGAACAGCGGTGTTATGGCCCAACGTCACAAAAGGCAAAATGGTATCCCAGTTGTCGTGGTTTAGTGCGATGTACATCGACAGCACTGTCTGTTAGTGTCCGATGAAATCTCCCAGTCAGCCCATTAGTTTGGGGGTGGTAGGCTGACGTCGTCTTATGTACTGTACCACAGGTTGTGAGCAGGGTTTCGATTATGGTGGACAGGAACGTCTTGCCGGGATCACTCAGGAGAACGCGAAGTGCACCGTGACGCAATACAATGGCGTTGAGAAAGAAGTCTGCGACGTCTGAAGCAGAACTTGTGCGTAGTGCAGCAGCCTCTGCGTACCTTGTCAGGTGGTCGACAGCAGTCACAATCCAACGATTACCTGCTGGCGTGATGGGGAGAGGTCCGAGTAGGTCTATGTCAACGATGGCAAAAGGAGTCTCGGGACATGGGATAGGTTGCAGAAGGCCAGCAGGAGACGAAGTTGGTCGCTTCCGCCGTTGACACAGATGGCAAGATGCAACGTACTTGGCCACAAAGGTAGAGATGCCCGGCCAGAAGAAACGGTTTCTGATGCGGCTTTTTGTTTTGTGAAATCCCAAGTGGCCTACACATGGGTCGTCGTGAAAGGCTTCGAGGACTTGATGACGTAGAGAATGCGGAAGTACTGGAACCCAGCGGTGTCCATCTGTAGTGTAAACGTAACGATGGAGCACATTGTTATCGAGCTTAAATTGCCATAGTTGTCAGGCGCAATCTAGCATTAGGAGTAGGTGATATGCCATTTAGGCGTTGGATAATGTGATTGCAATATAGGATCATCACGCTGGCGTGTGGTGAACTCGGTGTAGCGATTTGAAGCCGGCGTTTCGATAACCGCAAGGTGTGATAATGTGAGGGGTGACGCAGTGCCTTGCCCACCAGACGAGCAATTAGCTGACGTACTTGATGATGGCAGTGGAAGGGGGCAGCGAGAGAGAGCATCTGCATCTTGGTGTCTTTTGCCAGACTTATAGATGACGTCAAAATCGTACTCTTGCAGGCGGAGCACCCAACGACCGAGGCGACCAGACAAGTTTCTCAGTGTCGATAGCCAGCACAAGGCAGGGTGGTCTGTAATCACTGTGAAGTGGCGTTCGTAAAGATACGGTCGAAATTTTTGTATTGCCCAAACGACAGCGAGGCACTCCTGCTCAGTTATGGAGTAGTTCTGTTCAGCAGCCGTAAGAGCACGACTAGCATACGCTATAACTCTTTCCCGTGAAGTGGCATCCCGCTGTAGAAGAACTGCACCAAGGCCATGGCCGCTCGCGTCGGTGTGCAGACATGTAGGTGCGTTCTCGTCAAAATGGCACAGAACAGGGTCAGACGTTAAAGCATTCTTGAGGGCTTGAAAGGCACGCTCGCAGTCGTCGTTCCAAGCGAAAGTTGATCCGGATGTCAGCAGCTCTTGCAGTGGCGGCGCGATGGCAGCAAAATGACTAAATGAAGCGGCGGAAGTAGGATGCCAGGCCCAGGAAACTACGTAGGTGTTTCTGATTTTCTGGTCGAGGGAAGCGTATCACGGCAGCAAGCTTGTCAGGATCTGGACGAACGCCTTCTTTGCTGACAAGGTGGCCCAACACCTTGATGTTCTTGTTGGCGAAATGGCATTTTTTTGTGTTTAGCCGAAGTCCAGCACTGGAAATAGACGTCAAAACTTCGTCCAAACGATCAAGATGCTGACGAAAAGAAGAGGAGAAAATGACGATGTCATCTAGATAGCAGAGACATGTTTTCCATTTTAGGCCGCGTAGAACTGTGTCCATCATGCGTTCAAACGTGGCAGGAGCGTTACATAAACCGAATGGCATGACGTTGAATTCGTAAGCCCGTCTGGTGTTGCTAAGGCAGTTTTTTTTTCTTTGTTCGCTTCGTGCATAGGTATTTGCCAATAACCAGACCGTAAATCGAGGCTGGAGAAAAATTCAGCGCCTTGCAGAGAGTCAAGTGCGTCGTCGACTTGTGGCATCTGGTAGACGTCTTTACGCGTGATCTTATTAAGTACTCAATAATCGATGCAGAATCGCACCGAACCATTCTTCTTTTGGACTAGCACCACAGGTGATGACCACGAGCTGGACGAAGGCCGGATAACATCTCGTTTGAGCATATCAGCAACGTTGTCCTCGATGATTTTCCGCTCTGCGGACGACACTCGATATGGGCGGCGGCGTACGATTGCATTGCCTTCAGTTTCAATTCAATGCATGGCGACAGAAGTGCGACCCAGAAGCTTGGAATATACATCAAACGAAGCGCTGTGTTTTTGAAGCACACCCAAAAGTTCTTGCTTTTGCGCTGACATGAGATCGGGATTTATCGTGGCTTTTAAAGCAGCCGTTGTAGCCTGGTCATCAGTGCTCGTAGAGAAAGATGGCGAGTCTCCGTGAAGGGGCACCAGAGAAAGTGGTTCGGTATCTGTGAAGCAAACCACACTGGTGTCCTGGGGCAGTGCAACAGGCAATGAAGTGTGGTTAACTGCCGTAACTAATGCTCTGCCATCACGAAAGCGCACCAGGCTAGGAGCGATGGTAAGTCCACCAGAGATGTAACGTCCACACAGTGCTAGGAACACATCACCAGTATCGATCTTATCTGATGTCAGGGTCAGAATATGCTCATTACCTGGGGGAATAAAACAGTCATCAGCGGTGACGAAACGCTGGCTATGGGCATAGTTATCAGACGAAAGCGCAGTATCTGACATGTGAATGACCCTCTGACGGCAAGATATCACGGCTGGAGCTGAGGAGAGAAAGTCCCATCCTAAAATGAGCGCATTGGTACTCGATGACGGAACAAGGAACTGTATATGGTGAAGGATGCCCTCAATAAAAACGCGTACCGTGCAAACACCAGAAGGCTGAAGCAAAAACCGCATTAGCACAGCGAAGGGGATGGCCATCATACGGTGTCTTCACTTTGTGCAAACGCGAACACAAGTCCACACTAATAACTGAGAGCGATGCACCTGTGTCCACCAAGGCTTCAGTCCATATACCCTGAACACACACTGAAAGTACATTTGAGGGGCGTTCTGGAGGAGTTCGATGCAGTCCGCCAAATGCAGCTTTCCCTCCTGAAGCTGCACTGTTTAGTTTTCCGGGCGATGATCAGACGCCGTGGTAGCCGGATGAAGTGGTGACGGGGAACGGCGCATAGGTGACGGGGAGCGACGGCGCGAGGAGCGGAAGGTACTGGCTGCATCGAAGTGCTGTGGAGAGAGTGAGCGGCATTGGTAAAGTTGGTATGGGTGACGATGTTGTGGAGAGGGGGCAAACTCATCCCTCTCGTAGTCACCATAGCCATGCCTTTCGTCTTGTTGACGTCGACGACAGAACCGTGAGATGTGGCCGCGTATTCCGCAATAATAGCAAATAGGTAGAGATGGATGCCAGGCTTGAAACGAAGGAGGCGTTGCTCTTTGGGCAAGGACATTCAGTGAAGGCTGCATAGTTGACCCATACTGCGGTGACTGCTGAGGAGGTGAGGCTGCAACCACCTGAGCGTACGTCGACTTTGGAGTGGTATGCGAGCTTGGGACTTGCTCACACGTCATGGACGCTAGTTCCTCCCTCACAATGTTCCGGAGGCATTGAGCTGTCCGCCATCGAGCTCCATCGTTACGTTTACACTACTGATGGACACCGCTGGGTTCCAGTACTTCCGCGTTCTCTACGTCATCAAGTCCTCGAAGCCTTTCACGACGACCCATGTGCAGGCCACTTGGGATTTCACAATATACACTACTCTCATTGTGAAAATGATGCTTGAATCGGTTGCTATAATTTATGGTCTTAACTTCGACCAGGATCCCAATAAAACATTCCGGCCAACTGTCGGTCTCTTTAAGTGCTGCTAAATACTGCAAGTTGTAAAAATTCGTGGATAACATCGACACCTTGGTATACCTCACCATGTTAGACCTACCTTTATAGATCTTCTTTGGCCTAGTGGATGTTTACTTATTCAAAAACTCAACTTGGAAAAGGTTCAAGGCAAGCTTTGTATTTGAGGCTCGTCACTAGTGTCAGACCAGCAGGGGCATCTTGTATGTTTAAACATCTGTGGTAGATAAGCCTGAGCACCTGTTTCTCTACACTAGGGATCTCAAAATCTCCTCAGGCAGAGGTCCGCAATAATGCAGTTTAGTCCCGCAAAGGTCAGGGCAGTGAACTACCCTGGTAGGAGCACGGGAGCGTGGAGCTGGTAAAAAATTACGTCACCTCCTGCTGAAGGGAACCATGTGTAGATGCGAAGAAGCAAGCACTCCCACGTACACTGACGCTGCCGCTCATCGCATCATTACACAGGAGAGAAAATGGGAAAGGCGCAAAGCACGCAGTGATGGACTGGCGTTTTCTACTGGATCATGTCGATTGCTGCTAATGGGCAATTAAAGACAGAAGACTCAGATTGGACACAAAGACCCGCAGTCCACTTTTAGTCAACGCGCATGCTGCAAATTTTTATTGTTCATCAACGCACCGAATTCTCCCACCGGTACTACATTGGAGGTCAAGATCCAGTGCCTATGTACGAGGTGGCCAGTGAATGGCTGTGCCGTGCGAGAAGTCCGTTTTTTTTTTTTTTTTTCAATCGAGAAACTTGCTAGTAGACGCGGCCTGCGTTGGTGTTGCGATGTGAGAGAGGGGGGAGTGTAGGAAGGAGAGGGGACGCACATGCGCAGTAAGGGTGGTCACGCTGAGCACCGGATTAGGCAGATCGACTATGAGATGCTTTGCACCTAAAATTGTCAACAGACATTGCTATCGAAAGAAAGCCTTTTCCATATCTCGTATACAGGTCATTTCTCAAGGTGGGTGGTTTAATGCTCCGAAGCCGTGATATAAGACGCTGTAGTTGGGAGCTACGGAAATTTCGGCTATCTGGTGTTCTTTAACATGCACCGGCATTGCATGGTACGTAGGCGTCTAGTGTTCTGCAATTTATGAAACATTTGGTGCCAGGATTTCAACATGTCTGTAGCAATCATCAAAATGGCTAAAATGAGGATTCTGATTCTGAAATATTGCTTTTGTTTCAATACACAGTGACCACATGGTGGGCCTTGTGAAAATAGTGGTTTAGATTAGTCATGCTTGTGTAACTCACGAGCACACTTACTGAGAAAATGAAACAGTGGAAAGGGAAGGCATTCATGTGCAAACTGTGGGCCACAAGCGCGAGGTTTCGTGGGCCACATGCGGGCAGCACGGCATGTGGGCCCTGTGTTTGGGACCCCTGCTCTGCACAATAAGAGATGCACGGATCTTGCCTGTGTGCGCCGCCATCTTGGTCTCTTAAATTGACATTTTCTTGTTTTTGTACATTGTGATGTGAATCGGCAAGCCTGTAAAATATATATGTGCACTAACTCTACAATTTTCATGTGTATGCGCCAACTGTAACACCGTTCGTTTAGTTGTTAAAGATGTAACACACAGAGGTTAAGAACCAAACATGGTGGCACGGAAAACCCTTTGTAAAATAGTCTGTACTGTATCGTGGTTACTTGGTGGCCCAAGTGTTGCACTGGTAAGCTCGAAAGTTTTGGCTCAATTTCCAAGTGAGGTGGTGGCATTTCATTGGGCTTAAAATGCCGAAATTCTAGTGGCCTTAGATGTTTGTTCATCGTGAAGAAACCACCCAGTGCAATGAAAAGTTCTGAAAGTTCTGCGTGATGACATGCACCCCAATTGTAGAGTGGTTTTTGGTTTAGAGCACCCTGCAATGTCTCACTGGTATATACACTTAAATCTCATTTTCTGAAAGTACACCTGTGCAGTAATTATTATTTACATTTACTCATCATTAACAGGGCATATGAAAATTTTTTTTCCAAGGATTTTGCACCCTGCTCTCCATGCTCTCTATTTCTGGCCTTTTTAGCATAAAAAATGTTGAAATTGAGATACAAAAGGGCTGGGTAATAATGATAATAATAATGATGGATGTTGTACACTAACCTAAAATACTCTCACATATACAAGATAATTGTCTTCATTACTCTTTGTATGTTAATCTACCGTTCCAAGTTTTTGTACAACTGTCTCCTGGCTGTAAATTTATGTATGTTATAGTTACATATATTAAAACTAGCATTCTGCTAAGGATTCTGGTGCTTGCGATATTTTTCTGTTCAAGCACATTAATGAAGGTCAGTTCAAATTCAATACTTGTATTGTTTATTTAATCCGCAGCCGCACAAATCAAGGGTGACGTGCTTGTCGTACAATGTGAATGACAGCTTCGTGGCGAAGTGGCGGGTACGACGGCAGCGTGGCCCTCCTCTCTGTGGACACAAAGGCCTGCAGGAATCTCTGTGCACCAACTGCAAAGGTGGGTGTAGCCGTTGTTTGGAGGACGGATGCTCTTTTGTGGCTCGAGGATGGAGTGAAAAAAAGGCAGTTTGAAGCATAGAGTTTCCTATAAGTACACTAGAGGTAACTGTGGCGCTAGTGTCTATGGGAGCTGCTATGCACGGTGCTTCAGCCAGCGTGAGAATGATGGGTAGTAAGTACATGGAATTGTCTAGTCTTCGTTATGTTGGCTCCGTTTGGCTTCACAAGGCCTGTAGCCGCTTTGTCATGAGATGACAATCAGCGATTGTTCAGCAGTTGCACTTCACCACCTTGACCTTTTAGGCTCACCAATCCAAATCGGGCGACGAAGTTCACGACAGTTTTTCTTTTATTCGAAACAAAACCAAACCTAATGAAATACCAGGTTTTAGGCCCAGGACCATTCGCAAAGAAACCGAGTCGAGCCAGGAGTGCACACACACACAAGCATACTGTGTTTATTCAAATCTAGTTTGATAGTTTTTTTTTTTTTTTTACACATCTCTTTGCATTAAACTCCAGGGTCGGCTTAGACTTGAGGATTTTGAAAAACTCCGATTTTCATTGAGAAAAATGGTGCAGAACTAGTGCCACCTAGATGGTATTGTTGCCGTTAGTAGCCGAGCTAACACCTGGCTCAAGTACACACATGAAGCCTCCATTTTGATCTTTGTAGCGATTGTTAAAGCGAGTCGTTTGTCATTTTGAGTAGTGCTTCGAATGGTCTGTGTGTGGCGTAGCTCAATGGTGCCAAACAGGCGGTGTCAGTATTCGCAACTTCCATGTACCGTGGTGCCTCTGAGCGGTGGCGGCCGGAAGCTTTGTTGAGATGATTGAAGTTTTGAACCTGTTTCAAACAGAAGATGTTGCTGCTTGTTTTCCCCACGTTTGTGGTCGTTTTGCAACGTTGTGAATGGCCTCAATTTCATCGTGGCCCTTTGAGTTTCTCAAGGTAAAAGCAAAGTTGAAAGAAAAATCTGAGTGGTTTCACTGCAACCTCGGTGTTCACAGTCTATACGCCAGGAGGCAAAGAAAGCCTCCCGTTCAGATTAGTGACACAAAAAGCCATGAGTGTTTAAGAGGGTTAAATTTAGAAAAAAAATAACTAAGGCCCGTGAATGTATGCATCAGCCATTTTGTGTTCGAGTTTGCAGTCCTTGCGTTTAGTTCGTCCTCTCGACTCGGTCGCTGTGTAAACAGTAGCAGAACTAATGAGGAATTTGTTCCGCCTGTTGAATAGTATGAAAGGACCGGTTTCAAAACCTTCATCGCATCATGCCATCCCTGAAGGGTCTGCGAAGAGCCTCCATGACCTTAACACCTGCAGAAATTTGGGTTCGGTATTACTTCCCGATAGCGTGTTTGTTTTCTTTGTTTGTTTTTTCAGCCCTGCACAATGCTATCTTTTGTGCTTCTCTAGCATGGCTACATGGAATAGTAACGGGAACATCACCTCTTAAATGTGAAAATTGCAAATTACCACTAGTTTCGTTTACTGCTTGTCGATTAGTGTTCTGCTGTATTTTTTTTATTCAAGAAAGTGATCTAAAATCATATTGCCAGTAATAGGACATGCATCAGTTGCTGTTTAGCTTCGCTATTGAAAAACAATTTTTTTCGTCTGTTTGTTCTACTTAGTGCTTTTAGGTGAGCTCAACAAGCTGTGTGGGAGAATGCAATGCAAGCAAAACGGTAAGATAAAGCGAGTCTTCCAAAATGTTTCAGATATTACTGAGAAATTTGTACTGAGACTCCCATTATAATATTTTTCCTACATGACAGCTGGCGTTGGGTGCGATAATGCACACCTAGCAATGTGTGTGCCTTATTTAGTTTTGTGCATATTTATCTACCCAATGTGCTATCTTACATTTTTTTACCTAATATAGTATGTTAGCGCTCCCGTGCTTTCTCAAAAACTTGAATCAAAGGGCCACCTAAGCACGAAAAATTGCACTCTTCACCAAACATTTACTTTCCCACATTGTCTCTTAGGGCAGTCATCTCAATGACTGCCATGTTGAATGTACAGTTGCGCCACCTGTAGGTTGTGAAAGTTCTGAATAGTGCAGCTTATAAAAGGAAAGTTATCCTAGCTGCAAAGTAGTCGTCCAACCTTCAAGCCGGGCGGGACTTTAGAGTGTATGAGAAAAATGTGCGTCGCTGGAGGGTCTTCTGCTTGGAACTTTGATTGTGCGCTAAGAAGTGCGCTTGATGGCACCGAGGATTGCGCACTGTTTGAAGACAGTGACAAAGAGGTCGGCAACGACAAGTCTAAATGAGAACGGCATCGGGAAATGCGACATCTCTTATGATGCAAAAAACTAGAAGCAGCGCTAAGAAACAATGACGAAGACGCACAGAACAGAACTAGTGGATGTATGTTTCTCAGATTATTTTTTATGAACCAATTGCTTTGTTTCATCTTTATGTTCAATGAATGTTATCTCCTTGTGAGTGCTGTCATTGCCTGTTTCAGTCTGCCTACATTCGCAGTTTTTTATTTCTTATTTATTTTTTCGGGCTTCAGACCTTTGGGGTGTTGGCTTAGAATCGGGGTCGGCCTAGACTCAAGTAAATACAGTATATATACAGACAAAGCTGAACCATTAACGAATAACACGAGAGGTAATCAGATACAAGCAGTACTAGCTGTGCTAATTCTTTTGAATGGGAAGTGTTTCGCTGTGTTTGAAGTAGCTGATGGGCATCAATGCCGGTCGCTTGGACACGAAGCACAGTGTGGCTGGTTGACGTCCTTAACACCAGTCAGCCCTCGTCATGGCGCGGATCATTCCTGCAAGCAGCTTGGTAGTTCGAACATCACATTGGTCCCGTCTGCGCACGATAGGGTCGGGTCAGACACTTGGAGCGACGTCAGCAACAGTGGGGCTCTTCGATTTTTCACTTCTGGCTAACTGTGGGCTGCTAGAGCCAGCCAGAGTGCACGCGTTTTTCTCGGACTGCTCCGTCCTCCCCTGCGGCGCACTTCTAGTTGGTGTTCGTTTTGCTCAGGTTGGACGGTTCTGGGGACCCACGGGGAGCCCGAGGATCGCCAGATGCTTCCAGGACATTTTAGTCGTGGAATCTCTGGAAGGTTTTGGGCAGGTTTCAAGTTAGCAGACGCCGAAAAGCTGCGATACACGCTCTGCGCCATCATTGTGAGGACTCGACGGATTGCAATGTGGGCGCTTGAGGACCTGCGCCTTCGCTTGTCATTACGCATGGCGTTATTCTCTAAAGCCTGTCTCGCCTTGCGAGACGAGGCAATTACAGGGTGGCGGCGAGTGTTTGAAGCTACTGTTCATCGCTTTTGTTATGTTTCCTGTGAAGCTTCCTCCTGTGAACAGCCCGGCAAACTGTTGCCTGCTGGCTGCGTCGTACACATGCCTCAAAAGTTATGTACTACACGTTCGTGTGCACGCATAGAGACAACTTTGGAGTTGGTTTTTTTTTTGTAGTAGTCAAGACCATGGTAGTCGTTTGTGGAGCCATGCCTGTTTTCTGTGCACTTAGCGAAGACGATTGTGGTCGAATTAGCTCGATCCGTCGTATCTTTGTGTGCGCGAACCTCTTAGAACCTCTGCCCTGACACACTCGATTAATCTTCGATGGTGATAGAAGACCCTAGATCGCGACTGTTGGTGATGCTCGCTGGTCGCAAGCAGCATGCGAAGCCACTTCGATCTATAGGCCATCATATGTGGTATAATATTGTTACAGGGATTACAAATACACGGAAGATAGAAAGGAGTGTATTTGCAATATTTACAGATAGATGTGACACCTCGGGGTTGCTCGGATCTCGCGCGCCGAATCCGCTTCTTCTTCATCGATGCATCTACGACGGGGCGGAGCTATGCCCACTGCCTCGTAATATCACCCCCGGCGGACGAAGCGCCGTCACGGTGCCGCTGAGTCAATTAGGACTGGCAGTGAAGTAGCGTTTTAGTCGCGGCACATGGACAACATCAGTAGGTTTTGTGGCAGAAGATGAAGGTGGTTCAACGGCAGTGATGAGGTGGTCGACGTCAGTGACCTTGCGGAGAACGTTGTAGGGCCCGGTGTATCGTGGAAGCAGCTTCTCGCACAAGCCTTCACGTCGATGCGGCGTCCAAAGTAGGACGAGAGAGTCAGCAGGGTAGTCAACGTGCGGTGCCAGTCATCGTAGCGGACTTTTTGTGAGGCCTGAGAAGCAGTGAGGCTAGTGTGCGTGATTCGGCGAGCGACGCGGGCTCGAGAAGCAACGTCCTGAGCATACACCGTTGATTCGGTAGTATCGGAAGGAAGGAGTGTGTCGAATGGCAAGGCAGGGTTGCGGCCGTACAGGAGAAAGAACGGAGAATAGCCGGCGGTGTCATGCCTTGATGAATTGTATGCAAACGTAACGTAGGGGAGCATTGCGTCCCAGTCACGGTGATCAGCAGAGACGTACATTGACAACATGTCTGTAAGAGTTCAGTTGAGGCGCTCTGTGAGACCGTTGGTCTGGGGATGGTAGGCAGTGGTAAGGTGATGTTCAGTAGAGCAGCTACGGAGGATTTCGTCGATAACTTTTGCGAGGAAGCAGCGGCCACGATGCATCAAAAGCTGGCGCGGAGCCCCATGCCACAGAATGACGTCATTCAGTAGAAAGTCTGCAATGTCTGTAGCGCAGCTACTTGGCAAGGCACGAGTTATAGCATATCTGGTCGCATAGTCTGTTGCGACAGCGATCCATTTGTTGCCTGACACGGACGTTGGGAAAGGTCCGAGCAAGTCGAGGCCGACGCGGAAGAATGGTTCCGGGGGAATGTCGATAGGTTGGAGCAGGCCAGTCATACGGAGAGTAGGACGTTTGCGACGCTGGCAGCGCACGCAAGCAGCGACATAGCGGCGCACAAATTTATACAGGCCAGGCCAAAAGAACCGTTGCCGCATGTGGTGATAGGTGCGTAAAAAACCTAGGTGTCCTGCCGTCGGAGCGTCATGCAGATTTTGAAGAAATGTGGCACGCAGGTGTCTGGGGATAACCAACAAAAGGTCCGGGCCATCAGGCTTCGTGTTGCGGTGGTACAGAATTTCGTTGCGGAGGACATATTGACGGAGCGAAGGGTCGGAATGTCCTGAAGATACTCGCTCAATGACCGTCTTGAGGGTTGCGTCCCGGCGCTGCTCTGTGCCGATGTCGCGCAAATCGGATATGGCAAGCACACAAGAATCACTCTCATGGACGGCGAGGCTAGCAGGATCCACCGGATAACGTGAGAGACAATCAGCATCTTGGTGTAACCTGCCAGACACCTATAAATTACGTCGAAGTTATACTCCTGGAGACGTAGAGCCCAGCGACCTAGGCGACCAGTTGGGTCCTTGAGCGACGACAACCAACACAGAGCGTGGTGGTCCGTAACAACTGAAAACTCCCAGCCTTACTAGTAGGGGCGAAATTTCGCTACAGCCCAGACCAAGCGCAAGACACTCGCGCTCCGTTATCAAATAGTTTTGCTCTGCTGTGGAGAGAAGGCGGCTGGCATACGCAATAACACGCGTTTGGCTCCCCTGGTGTTGAGCGAGGACGGCGCCGATGCCATGGGCACTGGCGTCTGTGCGAACTTCAGTCGTCGCGGACGGGTCGAAGTGAGCCAATATTGGTGGTGAAGTGAGCAGCTGGAATCAGCGTGGAAAATGCAGCTGCTTCGTCTTGGCCCCACTAGAAGGGCGAATTCTTTTTGAGAAGATCAGTGAGTGGTCGTGCAATTGTAGTGAAATTGCGTATAAAATGTCGGAAGTACGAGCATAAGCCCACAAAACAGCGAACATCTTTGGTAGCAGAAGGAAGAGGAAAGTTTTTGACAGCGCTAATCTTGTCAGGGTCCGGTTGGACGCCAGCAGCACTTACACGATGACCAAGGACCGTGATTTCTCGTCGGCTGAAATTGCACTTTTTCGAGTTCAGCTGGAGTCCCGCTCAACGAACAACGGCTAGAATGGTCGACAGGCAAGTTAGGTGGCTTTCAAATGTTGGAGAAAAAACAATCACGTCGTTGAGGTAGCAAAGGCAGATGGACCATTCATAACCACGGAGGAGAGAGTCCATCATGCGTTCGGACGTTGCCGGGGCATTGTACAGTCCAAAAGGCATAACCTTAAACTGATAAAGGCCGTCTGATGTGACAAAGGCACTTTTTTTGCGGTCTAAGTCGTCGACAGAAATTTGCCAATAGCCCGAACGCAGATCTATTGATGAGAAGTATCGCGCGCCATGAAGGCAGTCAAGGGCGTCGTCGATTCGGGCAGCGGATATACGTCTTTGTGGGTTATCTTGTTCAAGGCACGGTAGTCAATGCGAAATCTCCAGCTGCCATCCTTTTTTTTTGACAAAAACAACAGGTGGTGCGCCCATGGACTTGAAGAGGCCTCTATGACTCCTTTGGAGAGCATCTTCTCGACTTCTCGTATGACCTGGAGTTCGGACTGGGAAACACGATATGGTCGCCGTCTAACAGGACTAGCATCGTCGGTATGTATTTGATGACGCATGACCGGACGTTTGACCTAAAGGGCGGTCATCGATGTCGCAAATATCTCGGTAGGTGGTTAGAACGTGGTGGAGTTGCGCAGCCTGATAGGGCAGAAGATCAGGGGCAATCATCATCGTGATTTCATCGGTAGGTGCGTTTGCTCGGCTGGCTGCAATAGGGGACGAGCAGCCTTCAGGGTCTAATGCCACGATGTTACATGCATCAAGTGGGGAAACATGGCCTAATGAAGTGCCTTGTGGGAGAACTTGGGTCGCACTACTAAAGTTGAGGAGCGGAAGCTGGACGATAGTCACGATGGTATGCGGCACAGCAACACTTCACGCCAAGAGCACATCCACTAATGGGGACACTATGTAGTCACCGTCAGGAAGAGCTGGTGATATCGTTGAGGCCGCAAACGTGGTGGCTTGCGGTGACAGCTGAACATAATCAACAGCGCACAATCGGTGTGACGGTGAGGACGGCACAGCCCCAAGTCGAGGCAGTTCAAGTTGGAGAACGCCGGTTGCACAGTCGATGAGAGCGGCATTAGTGGACAAGAAATCCAATCCAAGAATCAGGTCATTGGGGCACTGCTCAATAACTGCAAAGAGAACAGATGTGGGGTGATCGGGGATTGTGATGCGTGCTGTGCAATATTATACGATACAACGAAAAAAAAAAAAAGAGAGAGAATGAATTCAGAAATGTATACATCCTTTCGTTACCCATTTCATTGTTGGCTTTGTCTTGTTTCACCTCTTCATAATAATGCCGTGCAGTACAGTATGTACTATATATGACCTAGTAGGTCAAATCAAAGCTGATATACATGACATTTGTTAAGTGCCACTTAGGACTGGAAAACAGGCCCGGGCGAGTTCCAAAACGAGTCAAAAACATGTCATGCATAAGTTTATTTTAAATACAACGCCCACTCGTGGTACCGATACCTACGCATGTCTAAACTTTCAACAAAAATGTAAGTTGGTCAACGTGTGTTTGCGTCGCATCCTACGCGATAGCTGAGCAACGTATCCTCGAGCTCCTTAGGGGACACGATCACTTTCGCACGATTTCGTGTCGTGTTGTGCAGTGACTGATACACGTACTAAAAAGATGTGAGCTTTTTAATTCGTCAGCGTCGTGGCAGCTCACCTTGCATCGTTCTTGAGGAGGCGTGCGCCAGCCGGCGGTTTCGTTTGCGGATGCGTCGAGCGATCGTGTGAGCGTACGAAGTCGTACTCTAAATGTGTACGCTTGAGGATATTATTTCAGCTTTTTGGAGAGCTTAGCTACGTATTTCCAAGCGGACAATGCAGACAAAAATCAACGTGCACGCTGGCACAGTGCTTCCTTAGCTGCCACGACGGTAGAGTTTGTTTACGTTTACGCTGGCTATCCTAGCTTTTAATTTTGCCATCTTTGGGCAGCTTCGGGTTGTCTAGGGTTCCCCACACACGTGACCACGACGTTATTTCCTGTCCAGGCTGGATCTGGCTGACTGACCTCTGGCTAGCTCTGGTTGCCAGAGAGCTGCCATAGGCCTGAAAATCGAAGAGCCCCAGTGGTCCACAGCCCATGGAACACGACCTATCACTGTGAATGACAATGAGGACAACGGCATTTCGCCTGATCTCTGGGCCAGCTGCCCAGCCCGAATGCAGGCCTTGGACTTCGAGGTTGCCCAGCGGTTAAGAATGCCAGCCAGAAGCCCTGCATATCACATGGTCCCTGGGCCAGTCCCCAGCCGGAATGGTAGAGCGCCTGGAGGGCGTCGCTTAGTTCTCTGGACCAGACGTTCAGCTGAGAACCAGTTGGTCCTTGGCCGCTTCACTTTCTCGAACATCAACACGCTTGTTGTGACACGCGTCGCATGCGGGCACACTTCGTTTTCCTCGTTGACTCAGCACGGCGACCACTTAATTGTTTTTTCATGCCTCTATCATTACACCGAAACACAGTAATAAACGAAGTCACAAGTACGTTAAAAGCTTGTGAGTGTGAAGACTAGGCAAATTAGTGTACTACGCTCAAACCTTGATATAACAAACCCAGATATAATGGACTATCAGTTATAACAGAGTGAATGAAAAATACTCATGCAATATATTGTTAGAAATATACCTTTATGACAAATTTTAGGATATAATGAACCTATTTTTGTAGAAGATGCAGCTTTGTTATAAAAAGGTTTGAGTAATATTGATTATTCTCACGGCGTCTTCCAGTTCATGTCGTTACGAGCGTGCTGCGACCTACCACTGTGAAGGCTCTCAGTGTCAGTACTCGGAGCCAGGCAACCTGGAAAGTGCCGCACGACTGGCCTGCAGTAGCATGCGGAACACGCTTCCCGTTGTGCAGTGGCTCTCTTCCCCCCCTCCCTTGCTGGCCTTCCTCTAAGAGGCACTAAATGCGGCTGTCGGAGACACTCTCAACCTTGGAGGTGCACTCTCCTCCTCGTAGGCCTATAAAAAGCCGGCCTAGCTAGCGTCAAAGCTGCTTCCTCATCCACGTTTTGTACATACGTTGTAAATATAAGTGTTTTGTTTCCTTCTGGCTGCACTTTTTCTTGCCACTGCCTGGATTCTCCCAGCCCATCGTTGGCTTTCGCCACCCGCTACCCAAGAGACTGTCGGGCCTCTCACAACAGCGTGTTTCGGTGTTCACTATGCCAGATTTAGCCATGGCTACCTCGCAAATCACTCCCCTTTGCAAGTATGTCTGTGCTAGTGAGTCGTAGTGCTTGCTTCTGGGCGCCGTTCGAGATCACAGCAGATACCCCTGTTTCAATTTAACGATTGCGAGAATAGAAAGCCATGAAACGCTTTTATAGAGTGCACGGGCAGCGCAGGGACAGCTTGCGGAAAATAGCGCCTTCAACCACCAAAGTTGAGTGAAGTGCCACAAAGAAGCTGTTTCCAAATAGTGTACGTGTACGTCCACTGTGAAAGGCAAATCAACCAAACTTTTTTTTTTCATTACCGCTATTGCTCAACTTGTGAAAATTTTTATAAAACTTTCCCTGAATAATATATGCACCCCCAACTTTGCTCCGATTTTTCAAAGAAAAGAAGTGTGTTCATTACGCGAGTAAATGCGTTATTGTTAGGAATGAACATTTATAACAAATTTCTGGATATCATAAGCTTATGTTCGTGTAAAATGCAACTTTGTTATAATGGGGTATGAGTGTATTTGCACACCCCTAGTTGATTCGCATCTTTTAGCAGAGTCTAAGCCCTAAGTCACTCTTTTGTCAGGCCGTGGTTGGGCTGCAGTGGTCGAGCCACAGCAGGTTCAAGCTGGTGACCACCTCGATGGACGGCTACCTGTGCATCTGGGACAGCAGCACGAGGTGCTTGAAAAGTAAGCACGCTGTGCACCATTTCACAGGTTCCAGCTGCCTGTCGCTGTCGCCTGTCAACGAGGCGCTGGCTGTGACGGCCGGCTACGACAGATGCCTGGTACTCTTCGACATGCTGACCACCACGTACGTGTGTGCCATGTCCATCACAGTCCTCTTTCTCGAAGCGGTTGAAACGAATTCACATTTCAGCCACCTGGTATGAGACAACATGGACGAAGAACGGAGATAAACAAGTGCAAAGCCTGTATTGTTGCAGTGAAGTCCTTCATGGCCACGATTTGGGGACAACATTTGTGCGCATTATCATCCGCGTCAGTGCAGCTGCTGTAGAATGATGCATTTCGAGGTGAATTAAGCACCCAGAGTTGTGTGAGAGTCTGTCAGGGCTGCAGCAGCAGAACCACTTGTACTCACCTGATTAATCTGTATGCTCCCATTAATCTGGATTAATCTTATTTTCGTGCCAAGCTGCATCAAAGCGGTGACATTTGTCAATACTGCGCCTAGCTGCACCGACATGCCAGACCAGTATCGAAATTGGCAGTTTCGCTAATGTTAGCTAGAAATAAGCGCCGTGTGGGCCACCTGCCGTTTGTACTATCAGCGGCAAGTAAAACCCGAACAGCAGCAAGCCTTTGCGATAATGGTGCATGCCGTCCATTTATCACTATGGACAGGCACACATATATGTATGCACAGAACAGCCGAACAAGATGCGCGCACCTGTCTATGGTGATAACTGGACGGCATGCACTACACTATTGCAAATGCTTGCATCTGTTTGGGTTTCATTTGACGCTGATAGTACATATTCAATACAATCCAGAAGTGCAAGAAAGCTGTTGGTGTGCTTTCTATTAAGAGCCCAAGAACTTTATTGTTCTTTTTTTTCTGCTGTTTGCAATGCTTCTCTAAAGACATTTGAATAATAAAGCAAAAGCTCTGCATCTGTGATGGGTGTTTTCGGTGGAAACGTTTTTCATGCTTTTATGGTTTTGGTCCTGGCTGTCAAATATGATAGTCCGGTGTCAAGGCGTCGTCGAGAGATGTCTCCTTTTGCATTACTTTGTGGACATACTTAACATTGTGTCTCTGTGTCTGACATAAACAATTTCAAAAATAAAATTGAAATTTGCCTGCCATCAAGCTCGCCCTATATTTACGAAATGCTCCCAAGTATTAAGTCTCGATTATACGGGTGTGGCCATAAATATTTTTTATGCGGGAGTAAGCCCTATGTGAAAGGCAAAAGGAAAAGACAGCTGTTCTAAAATTTTCTGGCCTAGTTCCATCCGGTCTTCCGGAAAAACATATTAACATAAGGAGGGCGCTACAAGTACAAGCTTTTATGGCCCACGAGACACGGCAAATTTTTTTTTATTAACTACACACATGTGCAAGCACCTGGTAGTCACAAATACTACTGGTATGTTCACTGATGCAAAGAAAGATTTGCTGGCAAACATTCAGTGCTGTCTGGGATGTTTCTGCAGCTCTTGGAAACAATAAAAACGTACACGACTACATTTTTAGGCAGGTTCACCTTTGTAGTGCCTGTCAAATGCAGTTCAAGGTGGTCCTAAGACTCGAACTTGTATTGAGGTAGCGGAGGGGATATTAAAGTAGCAGAGCTTTTCATGCAGTGTGCACGGGTTAGCTAATGTTGAACGGATTGCATATACTTTTGTTTTCTGTTCTAAAAGCAATCTTTTTTTGTTGTGCTGTTTCGAATTTCTCAAATAGATTAGTCTGAAGAACTTAATTCAGCAATTAAAAACATTGTCATATTTCGTATGTCTCCTGGAGAAAAGATCTATTCTCAAAGGATTTTGTGGGATAAGCACATGTCAGTATCGAGTTGCTGGTCATAATTCTTTCAGGCTTTGCACTCTTTAGTGTGCACACCTCGCAGGGACTCTCTCACATTTGTTTGTACTATTCACCTTATTTAATTTCATTCGTTTTCTGCACCAAGAAACTGTTGAAGCAAGGAAGTTGGGGATATTCGTTATAAACTTCAGGCCCCGTGCTATGTAACAATGTTTGGCTCGCATGTTCTCAAGAGCCTTATGGACCGATTGGCAGCATTTTCTGATAGGGCTGAAAAAGTGTTGCAGGGCCCCTTCAGGTATTTTGGCTAGGAAGTGGCCGTATGTTTTGTTCACTTGTGCTTGGAGCATGTTGTGTGAATCGGTTTGTGGACGTAACAGAGCGCAATTACGTCAAATTTCTTAAATAACCGAATGCACTCCACCAACGTTAACTTGTGCATTCCATAGACCTACTAATGACAGCTTCTCATATGAACGTGGTTGCAGTGGCATCGTGAACATTTAGCATTTCTGGCTTTGCGTTGCCTGTCACTGTCTCCACTGGACCTACTCTCCCATTGAAGTAGGCTTTACTGTAAGTCCGTGGAATTCAGTTATTAGATAGTAAGGGACACATGGCCTTGGCACTAAGCTAGTTATCAACTACGGTGAAATGACGAGCAAGTGCCCCCCGACCTTTTTTTGGTGATCTGAAATAAGCGTCCATGATGGAGCAAGCACTGCCCTAAAGCCTCCCCTCCTATGCAGCCATTTTTTTTTTCAAGACGAGCATTGCTTGTGTAAAAAGAACCTCAAGAATGAACGGCCTGAATGCGTATCTGATGTTGTTTATTAAATTCTTTGTCATGTAAATGAAAAGTCACAGTTTCATCACAAGGGCGAAGCAATGAATGCGGTAGCAACAACTTGGAATGTAATTCTGAGAACGGCAAGCTGATCGAAACGTGCAGCGCGCTGCTCACACATAGATGATGCACGAAAACAACATACACAAGTTGTGAGCTCCCATACAAGATGTTAATTGGAGAAGAAACAAAATATACAACATTCAGTTGTTATGGTATCTTTAGTAAGAAAAAAAAAAGCACAGTGCAAAAAAACGAAAGTAGAAAATACTTATATGTTTAGCAAGGCAAAAAAGAAAACTTTCAAAAACAAACAAGCGCAAGTTGTAATACAAAACGTAAGAACAATGTAACATGTAGCAATTGTTATCGCTACATTAAAAAGCAGTTGCTAAGATGAAAATAACTGTTGCAAAAAATATTTCTTTACTTGGTTTTTGAATGCATGTTCTGTGGTTGATGATTTTATTACGTAAGGAAGGGAATTCCGCAGCTTGTTTCCTGTAAGTGTGGTAGTGAACTTGCTGTAGTTTGTGCGAACTTTATGCTATGTTCACACTACGGTCGTAACGTGCGTAACAACTCGTTTGGCGTATCGAACGCAACGGCTATAAAAAGCGTTACCGCAGTTATGTCGATACCTTTGTTCACATTTACAGCTACGTACATTACGATTTTTACGATAGGCCAATCATATTTGTCGCTGTAGAATCGACATCACTAGCGGTCCAATATGGCTCCCATCAACACGCGAGCGCTGGCCGAGTTGGAAGAAATTCCAAATGAAGACAGTACGGCAGGCAGCGCGGAACAACTTTTTACGCACGTTGCGAGCAAACAAAGCCAACCTAATCGTCACCGCGGAATGGCGAAGTAGCACTTCCCGCGCCGGCAGCTACCGCCATCGCCGCCGCGATGCTGCTGCAGCCGGGAGGACGGAAGTCCCGTCAGGTCTCGTGACCGGTTGTTGAAAACCGAAAGCTGATCGGTCATTGGCTGTGTCATAACGGTCGTAGTATCCAGTCGTAAAAGTTGCCTAGCCTTTAACACTCTCACCCACGATTTATGCGTTTGTTGCGAACGTTGGTACCTTTACGTTCACAGTCTGAACTAGACGCATACGCTTGTTGTGCTTCCGCTTACGCGTGTTATGAAAAATCGACGCCTTACGACCGTAGTGTGAACATAGCGTTAGGCAGAAGGCGGTTATGAAGCTCGGAAAACCTAAAAATATTTTTCTTTACAAGGCTTTCCACGACAACGCCATCTATATGCACATTACCGTGAAAAAGCCTATACGTCACAACTGATAACTTCAGCTGAAAGAGGTGATTAAGAGGATGTATATTTAAATTCTGATAAAGTGGCATTGCATTGGTTAAAAAATGGCTGAAAGTCATGAGTCAAAGTACTTGATTCTGTAGGCGTTGTAGTTGGTTGAAGTGGGTCAAATATGAGTTACCCCAGGCTGATATGCATTAAGATAAATGGCTGTGAATATATGCATGATAAAGGGAGGGGATTATGCGTCGCTGAAAATATGAACGAGTTTTGATTATGGCGTGTATTCCAAAGGTTATCTTGCGAATGAGTGACTACGCATGAAGATTGAATTTCATGTGCCGGTCAAGAACTACAGCGAGAAACGTTGTACTGTCGGGCATGGGAATTAAATTATCGTCCAGATGCACAGATATAGATTTTGAAAGTACCGTCGGGAAGGAATGAAAAACTATAAAAACGGTTTTTGATGGATTAATTCTTAACATGTTCATTCGACACCAGGAACTTATATTATGTAGATCCAAGTTAATGTTTCGTTTTAGCTCATCGACATTATTAGCCTAAGTAAAAATGGTCTGTCATCTGCATATAAGATACAGTCTGTAGCGGTCAAAACATTAGGTAGATCAATAATAAATAGCAAAAAGAGTAGCGGGCCAAGAATCGAGCCCTGAGGAACACCTTGATTTACTTTCTTAGCTGCTGAAACTTTACCGTCAATCTGAACAACTTGAGTGCAATTGCACAGATAACTAGATATAAATTGAAGTGCGGGGCCAGTTATGCCATACGATTCAAGTTTATGTGTAAAATATTTGTGATTAATTGTCAAAAGCTTTTGTTAAATCTATGAATACGCCACCAACTACGAAGCCTTGGTCGATTGCCCCCTTTTATTTAATCGGTGAAGGTTAGAAGTTCAAGCTCAGTGGAATAGCCAGGCCGTAAGCCGTACTGTTTAGATGTCAACAGGTTAAACTTTGCCAGGTAGGCTATTAATCTTGTATGCATAAGACGCTCGATTGTTTTGCTGAAAAATGGAAGAATACAAATGGGCCTATAATTACTCAGAAGTTTGCGATCACCATTTTTGGGAACAGGTGTTATTCTACCAACATTTAGGGAGAAATATGCCTGCTTTTAAACATCTTGTTAACAATATCTGCAATGACAGGGGATAGCTCACTAGAGACTAACTTGATGTGACTAACCAGGTCCCGTGGACTTGAGTTAAGTTATAACGCGAAGAACTTCCTCTGCACTCGTAGGTCGCAAGAAGAAAGAATAAGGTTGGCGAGATAATGTTGGTAATGAGGGATTTCTCAGAGATTCACAGGTGCTGCTAAAATACTCACTGAACGCATTGGCGGTATCAGTTAGATGGCTGTATATTTCTGCTTCAGTTCTAATTTTCGTTATCTGCTCACGACATTTATTATTTAAGAATTCATTTATGACCTGCCAGTTGCGCCTCGTATCATTGCCATTATCCAAATTTTTTTTCTGAAAATATTCTTGTTTTGCACATTTAAGTGCGGCTGCAAGCGTGTTGGAATATTTCTTGAAACGATTTTAAGTTCAGAGTTAAATGGCTCACAAGTCACTCTTTTGTGAAGCTGGTTTTTCTTCAAGATACCTCGAAGTAGCGCCCTTGTAACCTAAGGTTTTCTGGGATTACTAATATGGCGAGCCATGATATGTACCGTGGTGCATTCAATTATACATTGTGTAACTGTAGTCAAAAATAACTGATAAACCTTTTCAGCACAGGATTCACTTATTACGACGGTCCAGTCAATTCATTGTATCATAGATATGAATTTTTGAGAATTGAAAAATATTCTCTCTTTGTTTTCTTTACACTTGCAATTTTCTGTGCCCAAAGTCAGGAATAAAGGGTAATGATCTGTTATGCTGTGCTCAATGACTCCTTCTGTATTGTGTGTAGCAAAATGGGTAATATGTGGTCAATTAACGTATTAGACCCTGCTATGTCACATCTGGTCGGAGTGGTTATTAAAGATTCAAAGCCGTAGCCATGTAAACACCCGAGATAATCAGAACATGACTGACTAGTAGGGTCGATATTGTTTACGTTGATGTCTCTTCAGATGATGATATTTTTGTTTTCGTTCGTAATAATGTGCTACAACTTATCGAACTGAAAACAGAACTCGGACTGTGAAGATGCTGGTGAACGATAAATGCACCCTAATACTGTGTTCTGGCCATTAACTGAGAAAACACTCATCAAATTCTACCCATACGGATTCACAGGACATATTAGAAATTGTAACGTCATTGCGGCGTTTGTATGACAATGACAATTTAATAAAAACCGCGGATCCTCTGCCCCGTGGTGTAGCACGATAGCAGTACTCTGCATTGTACCGTGATAGCGCATACAAGTTTCTGTCGTCTTCGATAAACCCAGCCAGTTTATGTTCATTCATCTTGTAATGTGCAGAGTACTACTTACAGGTACACCAGGCATGAACGAACAATGTGCATTCTTGACGCAGCCTATGGCGCGAAAATAACACACGAGAGAAGGACTTGCGCTTGTCCTTCTCTTGTGTTATTTTCGCGCCATAAGCTACGTCAAGAATGAACCAACCTGCCCAACAAGTCACTCTGCTATAATATAGTGCATGATGGTTATCCGCTCTTTCGGTTTAACACTGGTTTGCTTCTCAATACTCGGCACTAGGCTTGTGTAAATATTAGAGAAGTGATGACACTTCCTGTAAGGTTGTTTGTGCAGCGTGGTGCACGTGTCTTGCGCAGAAGCCGTATTTTGGGTTCACAATTATTCAGTGGTAAATATTATTAAGTGGTAAATCGCGTTGTGTTCGCGATCTTTGATCACCACTATCATCATCATGGTTAGGTTGGTAGTGCCGGCGGTGACCTCTGGTGGCAAGCCTTGGTGGCGGCACGAGAGAATTGAGCGAGTCTCTTTTGCATGTTGCGTTTAGCGGGGACGGTTGTCTCTGGCAGTGTGTCCCTGGTGCACGGCACCACGGGCCGTCTGCCAGGGGCCCCCGTGGTGAATCAGACGTTGGCGATGCCGCCTTGTGTTTGTTATGCTGTTGAGTGTTGCATAGTTATGTGTAAGCTTGTTTTAGCATATTTGAGCACAATTGATGTATGACTACTTGGCTGACAATATCGCCGTTCTAAAAGCAGTTAAATAAATGTGTATTGTGTGGTTTGTTCCGATGGCGTCTGCTGTGTCCGTTCACTTCAAAAGCGTGGCGCTTTCCACATCGAGACCCTACAATATTCAAATGCTTCGAATATTCAAACAAATTATGCACTGTTTGAATTTGCTTCAAATCGAGTTTAAATTATTGAAAATTTCGAATTCTTTGAAATGAATGAGTAGGTGCATATTAATCTATATATACGTTTTGTAAAGCTGGTTTTGCTGCAATAAAGGGCTACTAAGCAGTAAAAGCACCTTCTCAAGCATATATTCGTTTTTATGCAATTTCTTTTAAAAGTTGTTTCACTGCAGTGAATTGATGCCAAATTGTGAAAACACTTACCAAGGGAAAATCCGCACTGCTGCGAAGCCCCACTTCAAGGTTAGATTAAAATGTTATCCTCCCATTGATTTATTTTTAAAATCTTGTTTGAAATCTAGCTTGAAAGCTCATTTTACCGACCTATATACTGCAAGTACAGCAAATTTTAAAACATTGCATATTTTACAGCCTATCACTTGCATTCTACCAAAAGTCGAATCCTGCTACAATTCCAAGTTGTCTCCACTTCCTTTGATACGAAAAATTGGCATTTGCACAGGCCTCACTTCAATTTAAAAAAAATGTTATACTGGTTAGTTAGGTCGTGACAAGTATTCCTATTTTTCTTTTTAATATGAGTTATATATATCTACTATTCGAATTCGATTCGAAGTTATTCAACCTAAAGCATACTTTAGTTCGAGTTCGCTTTGAACCTAAAATTCACTATTTGCACAAGCCTTCTCGGCACATGACAAGATGAATGGTGAACCTCAGTGCTACACTGTTGTCATTTTTTAGCAGGTCCGGCATCAAAACTGACCTACATAACTGTTTCATGTGCCGCGTTGTGCAGTAAGGAGGCAAGTGTGGCCACACCGGAGACCCTGGAATCGGTGGCATTTCTGCCCGATGGGCAACGTGTCCTGGCTGGAGGCACGTCTGGGCGTGTTTACCTCTACGACCTACGCAACACCAGACAGACTCCGCCCAGCGTGTTTAACGCCCACTCCAAAACGGTCTTGGCTGTGGCCACCATGCGAAACCAGGAAGTGGAGGCAGAGGTGAGGATGTTCAACTGGAACGCATAGGAATAATCATGGTGGTATTGAGATGTTAAACCCCAGATATTATTATTATTAACCTATATGGGTAAAAGAAACTTATATTCTTTAGTTTATAAAGTTAAAATTTAAAAACTTTGACCTGACGTTTCAGGGCTGATTCAATCTCTTCTTCAGGGGTGACTGTTTGGCCTGCTCCAAAATAAGCTACTTTTTGTTGGTGGTGTCCCCCTACCCAATGTTCTTCTTCTCGTCGTTCCTTTTTTGCTGGGGTGTTTTTGTCACTGGATCCACAGACCGTGCACGTATACATTTTATTAGGTTCCAGTTGATCGTTTAATATTTCCATGTGTTGTTTGAATATTCCAGAACTCTAAAAACTTGTCTTTTTGTGGGGCTACCATCTGTGTCAAAGACTCGGGCATCGTCGAAACTGATACGACCCTGCGAGTTGATTGTGCATCTCTTTACTAGCAACAGCACCATTTCGCTACAACGCACACATGCAGCACTGAACTCTCAACTGATTTATTACTTCAAACGCAAAGCCTTCTTTGTGGCACGCATTGAAACGACAGAAAGATAACATGACGAAAGGAACCGATGAAAGATGTTGTGACCACTGGTTGCTAAAAAAGATGCGTCGTCAAAAATTCTTAAACCACTCAGTACGCCCTCGATATACAAAAGAAGTGAAAAAAATTATATGTCCGATAACAGCAAACATATTCAAGCCAGAGAAGCCAAGGCAGCCACGCAAGAAAAGATAAAAAAGAGTAGAGCATTGGTGTCACCTACAAAACGGAGACTGGGGACATTTGTCAGTGCGTTATTTTAGCTTGTCTCAGACAGTAGGTGCCACACTTCGAAACAGGTGGCGTTTGCACGCAGATGATGGCATTTGTGAAGGCCTGTGCGAGCGAAGCGGCCACCACCACCTCTTATCAGCCCCGGCAGGAACTCTGTCCTCCCATCCGGTTTTCCCTCGATTCCGGTGAGTGCGGCGTGCACGACGTGTCAAATATTGTGGAGCGTGAGTTCTGCTCTAGGGAAATTTTCACTTGATTCTCTCCGACCATGCAACTAAAAATCTTAAAAGTGTAAAAATGTAAAATAGATATACAGCTATACAGATAATTGTTTCACTTTTCATAGAACCAAGAAAAATGTCTTAACATAGTGTCGAATTACGAAGGATTCTAAGAAAATCACGAATAAAAGTGTGCTGATTCTGTATGCATTTGTTTAACAAATGATTCTTCAAGTCTTATTATTTTTTATAAATAATAAGACTTATTGTTGCGCTAATCGAACAGCACACGTGTAGCATTTCCAGCTTACAAATCTGTTAATTTCTTGTGTATTTCGTTGCTGCAGCCTTGTATTGGAACTATTCTTACCTTTTTTGATGGACTTGTTTCTTTGGTTTATTTCTTCTTTTTGTTACTACAGCTTGTAATATAGGCGTGATTATGCGTAAAGTTGGGCAATTATTCTGTCTTTGTGTGCATATGTTCTTATTTGTTCTTCCTCATGAATCAAGCCTGCAGATTCACATGTTTCTTGTACACACATATGTATGCCCTCCTGCTATGCTCTCGGATGAGAGTGGCAGTATTGTAAATAAATAAATAAATAAATAAATAAAAGCATTGTACCACACACTGCAATTATAGTCTTGCAGCATCCTTCACTATGTGGTTTGAGTGCATAACCAAATCTCAATCTCTGATGGGCTTTTTTTACCTGCCCTTAACCGTTATGATTTTTAGGTTTCTACTGTTTCTGATTTTGGGTAACTACTGTTTTAAAAGTTTGCATTGAATAGTCTTCTTCTAGAAAGTAAGTCTTTCCCGTTAAGGGGTACTGACACAAAGTTTCGCGGATGAGATAGCCTTTGGGATTAGTTCCCGTGAACATGCGTGAACCATCTGCAAAATATCAACAGCGAGTAGCTTGGAAGGCATATTACAGCAATTTTCAAGTCAGAATTTTGAATGTACTGACTCTGTCTAAAGGGACCCCCTGGGGACTCCCTTACTTACTCCTCGTCATCACTCTGCCGTCAATAAAACAAGTTGTGATTATGTCATAGCTGCCTTTTCTTTTTTTTTGCCGCGATTGTTCCAGCAGTTTATACAATTGCGGCGCACACGTTTTAAGTTTTGTGTTTGGCAACACTTCAGTCCTGATGGCTATTAGAAAGGAATTCTTGATGTGGACCGGGGGGAAATGCGTCACAGCTTTGTGTGATGACGCGTTCGAGGGCTGAACACACTACGTGGCAATAGTTGCACCCAGCGGCGTCTAGTTTTTGGAGCTCTCTCAAACCAAAACTGAAACTGGTCTATAATGAGGGGCCTGTAAATAATTATCTGTCACGTACTGCACCAAACAATGTGTTGTGTTGTGTCTAACCGGCCCCCAGCAACACATTGCGGCAAAAAAAATGCGAGCCCAATTTTTGTGCCAGTACCCCTTCAAAAAAAAAAAGGGGAAAAAAAACCCCTTAAGTAAAATTGTTGTAAAGAAGGTTATTTTAAATTACAGTGAAATCTCGGTATGGTGAACTTTAGGGGACTGCGGAAATTCGTTCGTTATTTTGAAAGGTCGTTATAGTGAACACTCGAAAATTAACCATAAATACTTATTTTTCACCGACCAAAACAACTTACCTTTACAATGGTGAGACTCGTTTCACGAGAAAAAAACGCAGACACAAGTAAACACCAAAAAATGCACGTTTACTTTAAAAAGTGATTTCTTTCTTTTTTTGACGCCAGCAGCATAAACTTTGCAGCGCGAAAGCCTCCAGCTCATCCTAATTCCTGCGGTGTGATTCGGTTCTTTGGTCACAACAGCCTGCTTTTTGCCTTCCAGTTACCGAAGAATATCTATTGTCTCGCTTAGCGAAAACTCCTTTCGCTTCTTCGTCGTAAGCAGAGGTGAACTCATTTATAGTATCGCCGCAGCGCGAACACCGGCTTGCTTTGCGGTCGGGATAAGTAATCACCGAAAAGAAATGAACCCGACTGAAAAAAACAAGGCCTCCAGAAAACTGTCATCACCTCTTTCAAAGAAAAAAAAGTGCTAAAACAAAAAATTCCTCGTGTTTCGTTTTCTGCTCTCTCGCTGTCTCTGGTTTTCCGCGCCCATGCTTCCTGCTCCGCAACTCCCACTCTGCCTCGCTGACCTTGCCCTCCTGTGTTGCCCTTGCCTCTGCGCCCGCTTGTAAACCTGCAGCGTCGGCGTTTCAACAACAACAAAAAAGAAAGTCGCTTTTTCGTTTTTTTTTTTTTCTCCGCATTGTCGCGCGTCTTCCGAAAAGCAAGGTGGCCGTTCGCTTTGTCGTCTGCTTGCGTACCGCTCCTGTAGTCTCGACGGATATCGCAGTACTGAGGTGTTGTTAATATAACGTGGAACTAAATTAACGCTCGTTATTCTGAAAAGTTCGGTATTCTGAAGTACCTAGTAGTGAAATAATTCTACATTGAAACTATTAGCAGTCAACATGAGATTTTTAAAAGTTCGTTGATCTGAAAAGTTCATTAATGTGAGATTCGTTCTACCGAGATTTCACTGTACCAGTGTGGACTACCTGCTTGTCATTAACAAAAAAAAAAAAAGAGAATTCTCAGCATTGTGAGATTAATTTCATCATTCCGATATGCTCATTCTAATAATGAAAAGCTTTTTTGTCAAGCGGATGAGCCACACTCGTTCAAAATTGTTCGGTGTCAGTTTGGCAAGGATGAGATTCTTCTGGGAAGACCTCACTGTTCTGATTAAACAGAGTTTGTTTCGCATGATTTTGAACTGCATGTCATTCTGCCGCTAGTAAAAGCCACGCACACATGACACGAAGGCGACGACATGGGCAGCAGGACGTCATGGGTGTCTCGTGTGTGTGTGGCTTTTACTAGCAGCAGACTGACGTACAGTGAGAAATACCAACTAATCTAAGGAAAAGTTCAGCTCATGTCTTTTGTTTTTTTTCAACGGTTGGCTGTAGTTTTGGAGAATGATGAGCATGCGGCGACTGCACGCCCACGCAAGCCGTGACATCACATTTTCTGTGTTGAACTCGAGGTGCATGTTTTTCTTTTCGGCCACTTCTCTTTCTCCATCTCTTTATAACATCCTGCTCTTCCTCTTTGGCAGAGACATGAAACGTGCCCCACTCTTAAGGGCATTACCTCAGTTGGGAGCATTGTTTACTGCCCGTAACGTTCGTAGTGGTTCTAGAAACCATTGTGGGAGCTGAGCGGGTTGAGAGACACGGGCGATGGCTGCATTTTTGTCATGTCAGTTTCCGGTGCACACAGTATCGCCTAGTGCTACCTACCCTAGTTCACGATGCGGCTACTTGTCAGGACATTTTAAAATGCATTAAACTTATTACTTTCCTCTAGTCTCTGGCTGAAATTGAAGGTTCTGTTTGTCGATTTTAACACCTTTCACTTTGGCTGAATATGTCAGCGGCGAAAATTTTGTTCACTATCTCTTTAAGACCGTGCATTCGGAGCGCCGGACAAGTCTCTTGTGGTGAAAATGCTGCTCACACAGAAAAGATTAAAGGAGCATGCATTAAATTCAAAAAAAGGGACTCTGGACAGATATTAGTGATGGAGTAGCAGGGTGTGTGTGACCGGCCATTGGTTCGAAATTCTGTGTCGGCGTTGTGCAGAAAGTCGCCATCCATCCTTAGAGTAGAAAGGCTCACAATTTTCACTCTCAGAAGCCTCCTATGTCTTCCTAATGCAACGAGCTCATTGCGAAGTCAAACGACCCTAAGCTCTGCATCTGCTTTCGAAGAAATCACGGTTGCGAGTTACATAATTGCACATGGCATGAATTTTAGTAAATGTGCGTGAGGTCCACATGCACAGTGAAAACAAACCTGTCTCCCTTGGGAGCTGTGCATCATGAGTACACTGTTGACAATGCAGTCGTATATGACAGCAATGCAGTTCTGAAGACATAGACTGGGATTTCACTTCTGCACCAAAGTGTGCCAAATCAGATTCACTGTGCTGTCCTGATAATATCGATGCCAAATTGCGCCAGTCTTGGGTTTGGTGGTAAATAGTGCAATCAAACCTCTTTATAGTGAAGTTGCATTTTAAATGAAAATAAGTTCATTATATTAAAAAATTTATTTAAAGGCATATTCATAACATTACATTGATTGCAAAAATATTCTTCAGTTACTTTGTTATAATTGATATTTCACTATATCCAGGTTCGTTACATTGAGATTTAAGTGTATCACTGGCAATCAACCATACCTCTGGCGTCGGGATATGTACAGCTTGATCTCGGGGCTGCAAAAGTTTCAGCCACAGGCTAAGGATTTTCTTCATGTAAGAAATGCTCGTGCATGCGTCCCAAGTGTGGGGTCTCGGCGAGGCGAACGTGCGCATCACCACGCCACGCTCTTGGAGTGAACGGACACAGCTGACGCGGTTCGGTACAAAGCACACAACATACATACATTTATTAACTAATTTAGACGACGATATCGTCCGCCGAATGATACACTAATTTCAATTAACGCGCTACCATACAAACAACATAACGCAGTGACACACTAAACACACAATAACATGATAAACACACACTAACACACCCAACACACTAACACATACCCAAGGCGGCGTCGCCAACGCCTGACTTTCCACGTGGGACCCCGGCGCGAAGCCCGCGGTGCCGAGCACCGGGGACCCACGCTACAGACAACCGTTCGCGGCAGCCGCCACGCGCAGAAGAGGCTCGCTCAATGCTCGCCCACCACCAAGGCCTGCCATCCGCCAGGGGACCACCGCCGGCGCTACCACTCTACCAACAGTGGTACTCAAAACGAACACAACGCCATCTATCGCCCGGTGGTGGTCACCACCGAAACAAAGCCTTGGGGCGAGACACGTGCGCACGCGGCGCAGACAACTTTACAGGGGGGATGTCAGCACCCCCACACAAGTAAGCCATGATGCC